GCTTTATGTACATGGCTTCGCGCCCCTGGCCGGGAAGAGGGTCTCCCCCTGGAGCAGCTACGGCGGGGTGGCAGGCTCTGAAGAAACACCAGGAGACCCCTCCCCCCGAGCGCCGCTCGCACCCCTCCAGCCGAAGAAAATGGCGGCGTGCGGGGAGGCGGAGTCCGCGCCTCGGGCGGAACCAAGTTGGAAGCCAAAAGCAGGGTAGGAGTACCTGATCTGGTCTGCTCTTCGTTTTTGTTTTTGTTTTATTTTTGACAACAATCCTCCTACTCCATTCTTACGTAGATATCACCTGGCTGTGAAATGTGTATCTGTTTTCTGAATCTTAGATGGAAATTCCATCTGGAAGTCTTGACCATCAAGTTGGCCTATCCTCCCTCCGTACGCGGAGCTCATGGTGGCGTCCACAAGTGGGGGGAAAGTTCGGCGCCAAAGCTGAGTGTAAATTTGGAGGAGCCAGTAGGAGGATGGGCCGGCGGTCACGTGATTGTCAGCTGTTTAAAAAAAAACGTAAAGCTGTTGGACCGGCGGGGCCTCAAATTTTCGGAATCCTGGTGACAGCTAGAATTTAGAGTAGAGTCCCTGCTGCTCCGTTACTCCTTCTGGCCCTGGAGTTTTTGCCAACTTTGAATGCCTCCCACGGGTTCCGAGACTACGCTCGAGATAGAGCGTAGAAGAGCCCTGTCAATGCTAGAAAATTTCCCTGGATAATATAATAGATAATCCCCCAGGAGCCGCTGCTGCTCCGCCATGCACTTTAAATCTAGGAAGACTTGCACAGTGTTAACAAACAGATGAGGTTAAATGCTTGCTTTAAAAAACAAAAAATCTCAAAGAGGGGCCGGCAGGGTCCTGAGTTCAATCCCCGGTACCGAAGGAAAAAAAAACCTCAAAGATATCAGGTACTGCTGGCAACCATAAGTGCATCTGTCCTTCTCGGTCTTTAGGAGAAAAACATGACAGACATATTTGAAACTTGAACTTTTGAACTGCGCTGAAATTACTTACTGCAAACCATAAAATACCCAAATACCTAGCCACCCATCTCCCTGCCTGAGGCAATTCTGGCCTCCATTATTTCTAGACTGAGCTGTTTTATAATCTCTAAATTCTGTTGACAAACTTAACATATCTCCCTCGAAATCCAGGTCAGATCCCATACAGCCTGTGACCGAATATAAAACAAAAACTTGTTTAAACATTTCACCTGAAGATTAAGGTCTCTTAGCTGTGGAATTTTAGGGATATTATTATTATTATTATTATTATTATTATTATTTGCGGAACCAGGGATTGAACTCAGGCCCTTGCGCTTGCCAGAGAAGCGCATGTTCCACTGAGCCATCTCCCCGGCCCCCCTAGATTTTATTATTATTTGAAGTTTTAAGGTGGGGGCAGCAGAGAGGGGAGGAATTAGATTTAAAGCTGGGCCTGGTGGTGCATGGCTGTGATCCCAGCACTTGTGAGGCTGAGGCAGGAGGATCTTTGGGAGTTTAGGACCAACCCAGACTGCAAGGTGAGCTCAAGGCCAGCCTGAACTGCATAGTGCAACCCTGTCTCAAGAAAAACAATAAATAAATAAATAAATAAATAAAATTAAGCTTTACGTCCAGGAATATAGCTCAGCAGCATAAGTGCGTAGCTGGCAAGTGCAAGGTCTGGAATTCAATCTCCATATATATAGTTTTAAGGGCTGGGGGGAAATAGCTCAGTAGAATAAG